CGGTTTTATTTTTCATATGATAAAATCGATTAAAACCGGTTTTAACATATGAAAAATAAAACCGGTTCTAAACTCTAGTTCGGACGTGTCTTGAAAGCGAATTCAGTTTAGATCATTAAATAAATTATGACAATTCAATAAAATTGATAATTAAAATTTAAATGTATAGCAAAAGAATTTTAGCATTGTAATAAGATTAATGCCAACTAACCAAATTTCGAGTTTGATTTCGTCACCATTTTCAAAATAAGAAAAAATATATATATATAAAAATATGAAATAACAAAAATTTTTTATTATAATAAAGAATACTAGTTATATTGTAAGATATAAATGTTAGAAGTGAAAACTATCTTTTTTACAAAGCCCATAGGTCGTCATAAATTAAAATTAACTAATCAAATGAAAATTGAAGATCAGATGATCAAGTGTAACGTGACAATCAAAACAAATATCGGCGCAACGTGATTATTTTGTTTTTCGTCTTCTGCTTAGTTCGCTTCTTATTCCTCGGTTTTTCATCTCCCCTGATTGGGTCTACTGGTTCTGCATTAGGAGCCGGTTATGTTGTGCCCCAAACTTAAAAACAGTTGAAAAACTGCGAAGTAGAGGTGTTCGTAAGCAACTATAGCAAAAAAGCTTCGAAGAAGATTTATATAAAAACAACTATACTTCGAGGAAGAACAACCAGCTTCTGTACGGGAGATACAGAAGAAATTGGTTGGGGTAGAAATATGAAGTGCTTTCGGTGCACTTTTTTTTTTTTTTTTTTAGGTAAGGTTGTATAACTTCTGTAGCTTTAGCGCCGAAAACCACGACATATTTATACCTTCCCAACCGACGGGATACACCTCTACGTGGTGGTTGGGACGAGTAGGAGATATAATCTCCGAAACCAAGTATCTCGAAAACTTGTTTATTTTATTTAACATATTAGTATATAGAAATTTATTATGTTTAATAATTTAATGTTAATAAAAATGTATAGCTTTTTAATTGTATAATTAATAAATTATTTAATAAATTAATAAAATTATTATACTTTAAAAATATTTAAACGTAAAAAAAATTTAAAAATGTTAAGTCGCGAAAATAATAGTAATTTTGTCTGCTTGTGAGTTATTTCGAAATAAAGTATCCAATCTAAACTTGATGTATATATAAAAAAGTTTTAGCGATTTGAGCAAATAAAATTTCCGACGCCATAACACTATGTATATGTTTAATAAATCAAGTTTGCATCATAGAACGGCTTTAAAATTATCTCAAAAAAATCAATACCAACTGGTCAATGGCATATCATATTTCTAAGTGAATTGAAATATTATCGTGATATGTTAACATATGATATATGATATATTAACTTACAAAACTCACGTAATAAAGATTGCATTTTACAAGAAGCAAACAATTATGTAAGCCACTGGTATTAAATCTTACTATATATTGTATTTTTTATTATCATTATATTTTAATTGACACCTTAATATATAATTATTTAACGTTAATGTTACAATATATAAAATTTAGATATTTTCGAAAATAAAACTTTTAGTGTACTCGAATCTTATACCAATCACACTGATAATATCGATCGATATACCCGATTTTCAATAAATCCAAACCGTTCATATGTTTCTTTTGTTGTTGTTATACTATCGAGTTCAGCACAATTAATGTATTATTCAAGTACAAAAAAATATATATATACATATATGTGTGTGTAAAAAATGAATTTCATTCATCATTATCTTTCCGAACAGCATCTTTGATTGCGTATTATTCGTTATAAGACGATATTGATCATCCAAAGCCTTTTGAATATAAACCATAATCAAAGATCGAGATTAGATCACATTAAACCTTAAGGCGGCATCCACAATTTCGTTAAACCAGTATTGTCATAGGGATCTTAAAGATAATACAAACATAATACTATATAGCATTCCCTATTTTTATACAATACAATATACAATAATAGTTTAACGTAAATTGTGAATGCCGCCTAATTAAATGAATTAATTGAATGAACTTACTGTATTCGACTTCCTAAACTTTCTGTTTCTACTCGCAATTTGTCGAGTGGCACTTGAAGTGATTATAATTGACGTAAACTTTCCTATACATAATACTTGTCTCTATATATACACATACATGTGTATGAAATTGAAATTGTATATGCAATTTCTTAAGAGATCGCGTCTTCAAAGTTTTCCGCTATTAATGAATGATATAAGGTTAAAATGATACTTGAAAAATGCAAATAATTTTGATGAAATAATTCTGTTTTTACTTTGTGATAAATTATTATCTGCCATATTGACTAGTCGCTAAGTGTAAAGAAATGGGAAAGTAATCGTGAATACTTTTAAACGTTTAACGTTAAACGCGACTTAATTGTTAAGTCAAATTCACGTGCACGAAGTTGAATCACTGACTGGACCCGGAACAGGGCCCCTGGAAATTTCTGTCATTATACCGTTAATAAAAATATTTTCTATGATCGGAAAATGAGGAAATGAAGGTATAATATTCTTATCAGTTTATTTAATTCAAGGTTAAAAAAGAATTACTTATTTTTTTTGCATAGATATTTTATTCGAGCCTGTAAAAAAATTGTAAAAAATTGAAAAAATTGGCAGTGACATGTATACGTACAAGCCACTCAGACGTATTCGGCAAAAAAAGAATTCGTACGTACGTATAAATTAATTATTATTATACTTTTAAAATAAACCTTTTTTTATTATCGCTGTTTTCGAAATGATTGAAAATGGAATAATTTTTTTTAGCGTACACTCGTACACTCGATTACCTTAGCATGTTGATGTGTAATTGTTCACAATTACATAAAATCGGGCATCGATCTTAAATCAACGTGAGTATACGAGTCATTTTCAACCATTTCGAAAATAGCATTTATCTACGTAATAACGATAAATTATTTAAAGTTATATAATTTACCAGTTACAATCCTAATAAATTAATGAGTCCGGTAAGCAATAAACTTGACTCCTCGATAACAGCGGCAATTTTAAGTTGCTTTCAGTAACAATATTAAAAGGCTTAACACATCGTACTGTACTGTCGTTTATAATTTTTATTCAATACAGTACAGTACTTATTTACATTTTATATAATGAAAAGGTGTACTGTATCGGGCATAATGAAGCGAGTCAAAAAGTTTTAATTAAAAATATATAAATAAAAAGATAATATGTATAAAAATTGGATCATGTAAGCAAGAAATAGTGTAAGAGTTTTTATTACAAAACAAATACAAAAAGGATCGCTAAGTTGTTTCAATTTATCCAATTGTAAAAACTGTTTCAAGTGCTTCGCCCTATCTAAAGAATTTTAAAATGTGAAACTATATACTGTATATGCTTCGATTATTAGCGAATTTTAAAACTATAGAGCTTAAAATTATTAAAAAAAAAAAGCGTGTTTCGGAAATAAGTGGGAGTTTAAAACACATTAAAATTTATTAGAAAGTGAAATAAAGTCGATACATCGCTTATTTGAAAATAAATACGTTATCTATTTCTGTCAAAATTTAACCTCTTACTATCAGAAATTTACAAAACGAGATACTCTTTTTAATGCATCGATCTGCCTAATGAATTTTAAAACATGAAAGACGACTTTAAGTACTTTGATACATCTAGAGAATTTTAAAATACTTGAACACCTTCGATTTATTCAAAATGTATTTAAATGTACATAGCAAAGTACGTCATACAGCATTCTAGGTATACCCGTAAAAAAACGTATGTACAGTACATCTCGATAAAATGAAATAACTATCAATTTTTGCCGAATAACCAAAATGAACTTTTTTCCTGCCAAATAACCCGCGGATGTTAAAATTTCTTTGTACACTTATATGAGTTTTAAATATAAAGGCTTATATACATAGCATATTAGTATTCTGCTCAAGTTTAGGCTCAAGTTTAGACTCAAGATTGGGCTTAAGTTTAGCCTCAAAATTGGGCTCAAGTTTAGGCTCAGGGTTGGATTCAGGGTTAGATTCCGAACTAATATACTAATATGTTAGTATATATATATTTATTGCCGGCATGAAAGAAAAAACCTCAAACCAGCAATCATAGTTTATTATTTAGAATAATAAACCTAATTGCGGTTCGAGGTTTTTTCTTGCTAACACTCAAATAATAAAAATATAGTTACCATGGTTTTTTATAAAATATCGCAGTATTTCTTTCGCATTAATGAATTGTCGTGCTTCGAACACCGGACGTTGTGGTGTAATGATCTTTTGCGTAACAGTTCGTAGGACAATCGTGCATCGTTCCGCATATTTCTTGGATTCGGGCTTTTTTTCATATCTTCGAGTTCATCCACAAATCCTTTTCTGGTAAACTGTCTTTGGGATCATGCCATATTTATAACACATTTTCAATTATCATTTTATACGTAACATCGTAATAATGATATGCTACTTACTATATATATAAAAATATAATCGCTGTAGTATACTATATTCGCATTCTAATATAGTATATCACACATCGCAAAATAAATTTGATATTGTTGATCTTAAACAATTGTAATGCGCTAAAATACAACTTTTCTTCGTAGGAGATCTATATAAGTGTCTTAATTTTATTATTACCGTCAGAATCTAAAAGAATACTGCAACTATATCACTAATTTTTAATCAAGGTTTTGGATTGATCTCTATTTTAGGTTAAAAAAAGAAACGCCACGTCTTCACGTGACTGTATCACGTCCCTCACATTAAATATTATAATTCTCAAAAAAAAAATATATATATTAAACATAAAAGATATTTATTAAATAAAATTTTCTTTTTTGTTACAAATTTATATATTAAATTGGGATACATCGAATTAACCAATAAATCAAAGTACTTCAAGCTACTTCAAGGTTTCACCTTTCTGATCTGTTTTTTGTTTGCTTTTCTATTTGTTAAAGAAATTTTGATTCCTTTTTGACCCTTCTTTCTGTACATGGACGTAAGTGGAACGTAAGCATAAGGATCTGGCTTTCCTTTTCGTTTCACATCACCTTCTGCATTTTTCGCTTTATATTCCTTGCCAACTGTGATAATATTTCGTTTGGATCGATTTTTTTTGTTTCTTTTTGCAACAATGTCAATGGGTTCGAAATCATCCAATTCCATATCATTATCACTGTCTCTCTGCCCCTTGTGGAATTTAACTTTACTTCCTTGACCGCGTGTAAAACCAACACTAGATCGTTGTGCCTCTAAATAATAATTGTCTGATTCGTTCATCTCAATATCAGAACCTTGAGATTCCTCATCAGATTCATTGATTATCATGCGACCATCATTTGTTTTATTGAATTCATTAAATAATGACGTATCACGTTTTGTTGTTTTTCGATTAATAGGGTTTGATCCAATGATCTTTGAAATACAACTTTTATCCAAAAAATCCACTGGTGAATCATTATCTTCCTTTATCCACGATACAGGTGCCTTTTTACTGCGCATATTCGAAGATCTTAATTTGGTTGAAACTTCTTCTTCTTGTTCAGAATCTTCAAAATCACTCTCACTTCCATATAATACATCTTCATACGCGTCATTAGACATAGAACTTTTCTTTTTTTGCTTGCTAACTGATACTTCTATATCTTGTTTTTCATCATCATTATCCAAATCCATATTCTTTCTACGTTTGGCTCGATTTTTTCTTTTGCGAATATTTGACAATAATTTTCGATCATTTTCAGGTACATGTTTTTCTATCGTGTCAAATCCAAACCGGTGTATTAATCGCTCAAAAATGTGTCTAACTTTAAATTTGAAACTTCTATGCTCTGTAGACCATGTAAGAATTCCTAATATAATTTGTGATAAATGTGAAACTAAAAAGTCAACGTCAAGTGATGTAGTTACAACTTTGACAAATCCCAATGCTGATTTAACAATTTCACGATTTGTACATTTTACAAAGTTATCCATAGTATCAAGTAATTGATGGAGATTTGATTGATCAAGATCAAATTTGAATTCAAAAATTAATCTCGTTAACGACGCAATCGTAGCACTAATCATGTGAGGGGTAGTTGCAGCTAGTCCAGCAACAACCATCTTGAATACAAATTCATTAATATTAGCATCTACATCTTGTGCTGTTGGATCTGTTTCTGCAACTTTGCTCATAATTATTATACCGCCTTCGTTCATCTTATTTCCCATAGCAATAAGTAATTCGTACGCTGCAATCCTAGCTTTTTCATTGGTTTCTTTTGTACTCAATATGGCTTCAGAAAGCACATCAGGAATCATGTGAAGATCTGTTTTCGGTAATAATTTAATAATATTCATCAATACTAATAACCGATTCTTTTTCGCGGCAAGAGTAGAAACCATGGCTGATTCTACCAATTTATTTTGTAAATCGTCAATATTCTGTAATATCACCAATTTGCTATTTTCATTCTCTACAATTATATTTAATACTTTGTATGCTTTTTTTTGTAACGTTGAGTCTTCATTGCAAAATAATGCAGTGATAACTTCGTATAATTGCTTAACAGAATCAATTTCCAAATATGGTATCATTATAATTGATAAATCCAACATGGTATAAGACATTGGAGGAATTGCGGATATGGATTGTTCATTGCTTTGTTGTGGAGTATTGTTTGAAAGAGATTGCTTCAATAAATTCAAAACTTTACTAAATGTTATAGAAATATCTTTAGGTGGTGTAATAGTCAGGTAAACTTTAATAACATTCAATATATATGCTCGATATGCTGTAGGTGTTTGACTAAACACATTGAAGAACACTGCCAAATAATTTTTGGCATATTTAGTCAAGAGTTGAAGGTTTTTTTCAGCTAATGTTTTATCTAAATCATATTTTTTCATTAATATACTATTATCTTCATTTGATTCCATAATAGCACGATTTTTCTTGATCAAGTTTTCAATTGCAAGAGCAATAGTCGGTCGAAGTTCAGGTTTTTGATAAATCATATTACTAAACAATTCAGCTGTAACACTTGTGAAAGCTTGAGGTAAATCCAAAGGAAGATCACAAAATCCGGGTAAAAGTGCCCATAATTGTTGAACTAATGTCTCGTAAACTTTTGCTTCTATCATCCGACCTTGATTCTGAAATTGTAAGGATTTTTGAGCAAGTCTCTCACTCAAAGGAACAAGTTCTCGAATAAAATAACCAAGTTCAGTATTTATAATATGATCTTTAAGTAACGGTAAAAGCCATGCACGACCATTATTTTTATTATTATCAGGGTTTTCTAAATTCAATGGTAAAATGTTCAGGAATGTCTGAGGTCCCATATTCGCGATTGCGGCACCTAAGGTTTTATCAGCCGCATCCTTTAATTCGGGATCTGAATTCATTCTTAATTCTTCTACAATGTTAAGAAAATTACCCAAGAGTTTTTGTGAAGATCTTTGTAATCGTTGAAATAATGATTCCAAAATTTTTAATATACAAGGCCATGCAGTCTGATAACGAAAGTTGAACCCATTTTTAACTATTAAAATTATTTCATCCAATAATTGTTTTTTCTCTGAATCTAATTGTCCTTCACGAAACGTTTCCTGAACAATATCATCAGTAATGCCATGTGTGATAAGTTCGACAAGACAATTCGTGGCAGCAACTCGAATATCAGAATTGTTAACTTCCAGGACAGGAAATATGGCTTTAAAAAAATTACGTAAAATTCCAGCACATCTGTCTGAATCAATCTCAGAATATGTCGTAAAGCCTTTGCCAACTATAGTGAGCCAATGCGGTAATAATTGTGCATCTTGTATATTTGGCATAAGTTCGGCATGAGATTTTAATAATTCTTCAAGTCCAAACTTTTCAAATCCATTTCTGTGATATTGAAATAATCCATCAAATACTTGATATGTAGCGATAGTGATAAGTGCATCATTAAGTTTCTGTAAATTTAGTAATAATTCACATAATTGACTAAGATTTTGAACAGGCCATTTCCCAGTAATTGATTTTAAAAGAGCTAAAATATGATGTATCGATTGACGATCAGTTTTTGAATATTCATTAAGAATTCTTTGACAGAATTCGGTGGTTAGACCAATCATAGGATGTTTAACCATTGGAGGAGGTGGGCAATTCAGAATTTTCCGCACAGCATCTTGAGCTCTTTTTCTTGGTTTAGGTCTTTGATCTATAGAAAGGAATAATAATGCTTGGAAAGATCTTTTTGCTAATAATTGATTCCATGTATTGCGATCTTGAGTAACTAGAAAACTTTCCATACAGCCCGTGATAGATCGAACAATTGCCGAATCATCTTTGCTGGAATCTAATTCTTGTAATAATATTGGCATAATTTGAGAAAATTTGCCAAGTAATATTGTAGGAGATATACTAGGTAGTGTGATATTCAAAAGGTAAAGAATTGCTCCATGTATTTCATTTCCGGGATCTTTGGAATTATTACAATGCTCTTCAAGTGTTGTTAATAAAACAGCGAAATAAGCTGTAGGTATTAAAGGAGAATTTTGATCCCTGATCGTCTCTTCAACCGCTATCAATGTAGCAGCTATTTGTTTTTGATTATCAAGCTTAGAGTCTACTTGATTTCGAATTCTTTCAAATTGTTCTTCCATCTTGGAGATAATTCAAAAGTTGGATAATTTCGAGCCAAAAAAAAAAAAAAATTGATAATGATAATCAATTTGGTGTAAGGGATTTTAATTGGCCAGTTTGAGACTTTTTACTACGTACATTAACGTGTATTAGTGAAGTTGGGTACATATCAATTCCCCGACATTAATTTATTCGAGTATGTTTAAGAATAATATTTTGTGTGCTTATTTCTAAATATCTCTTTAAATACTGTATAGTTATTGGATGCGAAGCAGCCAATAACGGAAATTATTTGGAAAATAATTTCATTATCTGGCTGTGAAATTT